GGGCACCTTTTGGTTGCCAAAGTCCAACTTCACTTTTCCCTTCGTCGTTATTTGAATAGGCATTTTCGACAGACGAACTACATTCGTTACTCGTAGCTGTCCGACGCCGTCTCGTTGGCAATCACGGCGTTAGAACCCCCCCTCTTCGTTCCCCATTTCGCTCCTTCCCGATGACATCGTTTTTTTCCAAAGCAGGCGATACGTTTTCCGAGCGATCTTGCCGACCAACCAATCGCCCGCAAGATACGTTTCACTGAACATAACTGCCCTGATAGGAAGGCGCGATGGATTTGCCCTGACTTGATATGCACGAAAATGTTTGCGTAGAAGTGGATTTCTAGTACAAATACAGAATATGTTGTACATTTCGACATAGATTTGTACCTGAACGTATCGTTTTATTGACTTTTTCTTTCGCTGTCAAAATGCCGTCCTGAATTCTTTTTCAATGGGAGCAGCCCCATTCTTTCCCTTTCCCCCAACTTTTTTGTTCGCACCCATCTGCCTCTCGCTCGCTCCTTCCCAATGTAGCGTTGTTTCCCATCCCAGTATGTTGTATTTCGTACTAGTACAGAATACATGTACCTACCCAGCATTGGTGTCCACCTGGTTTTGCGGAGACGAGGGGTTTTGGGGCGGGGGTGCAGGGGCGACCGGCGAGTGTGAGCGAGGGGAATGGGGGACATCAATGCTGATGCCCCACTCTTGTCGGTTTTCTTTCTCCTCCCCTCTTTTCTGTGCCGTCCTTGTGTGATTGCACTTTTGCACTTTCCTCCTCAGGCGGCCCCGCTTCTGTGTTTTTGCAGGGCGTCATGACTTTTTTATTTTCGCAGAGTGCGGAGATACAGTGCCTTCCCCACAGTGTCTACGTCGAAAGATCGGACCGAGTTGCGACAGAGAGGGAACGTGAGGAGGCAGGTGCGACTCTCCTTGTCGCTTCGGAGAATCTTCGACCAGAGGACAGAAAAGAGAGAGAGATAGAATCGCTCCTGCCTGTTATGCGTCTTAATTACGGCCCATTTGTTTAAGCATATATTTCCAGGGGCAAATAAAATACGAAGCTCATGTGCTTCGTATGTTTTCTTGCTGTGTAGTGCCAACAGTATTTTGTTTTAAATCCTTCCTCGTCGATCTCGCCAACCTCGCCAATAAAACAAAGCCTCCTCAATCTGTTCTCTTTTTTCTTACGTCCTCGCTGGATCGGTGACTATCCACTGCAGTGATAGTGTCTCTGGGCCGCCCAACTTGGCGGCAGCGAGTATCGAGCACACATTGGAGAGACGAGACAGGTACAAGAGATAGGAGACAATGACGGGAGCATGCCGTTGGTCCCATGAAGCCCAGAAAAAAGGCTTTCAATTGTAGCACTCGTCTCCCGTGCGTTGAGGACGGCACAGATCAACTTGGAAACTTGCGACAACAGAACACTGTCCAGAGATGGGCATTGTAAGGACAGAAAGTCCTGGCGCATTCTGGGCCGTGATTCTGGGCCGTGCCTGGCACGGGAATCGGTCAGTGTGCAGTATCTGGGTCAGTATATGGGTCAGTATCCGAGGCCTGGTCGGCTAAGATGCCGAGACCAGTGTCAAAGACGTGTGTCAAAAGAGGCGGTCAAGGGGTAAGGAACCCCCGGGAAAATTCCCACATCTGTTGAACTTTCTCCACGGATCTCTCCTCATATTTCTCAGCTATCTCCACAGTCTCGCCAGCAGCACAAGTCTTAATTTTCTTCTGTTCTCCAAATCTTGCATGAAGCCGCTGTCGTCGCGTTGTTGTGCTACAGATGGAAACGATGCTAGAATGTGGCAGAGTCGCAAGAAGAAGAAGAGGAGGAAGATGAAGAAATAGCTGCTTTGTACGTATTGGCCTGCTGCCGTCGCGTTATAAATCAAAACAGACACAGAGACTGAGCGCCTACTGTCAAGGCATGAACGCCGTGCTGAGCCGTGTGCAAGTGCAAGATCAAACTGGCGGTCAGTGCTCCTAACTACATTCTACGTCGTGCACGTCTTTTTGTTCGGCGTCTTGAGTGATTCTCGGTATTTTTGCTTTCTTTTCTTGGCACTTGGTTCTATTCGCTTCGTTTGTCTTACTCGAATACAAGCTGTCTTTGACGATAGTTTCGTACTTGCTGGCCAGCACTGCTGATCCTCGTGAACCCCTTCAGCTCCCAGTAAGATGCCTTGGGGAAGAGATTTATCTCCTACTCGTGTTACTCCAAAGTCCAGTTACTGGTCAGGACCTGAGACGGTTTGGGGGCGTAGCCGCGGTGTCGACATCCCGAAGGATCTCTGGTTTCTTGTCACACTCAACCTAGAAACGCAAGGGCCATCCCCGAACGGGCCTGGACAGTTTGGCCCCCAAACCCGCCCCAAAAACAGCACCTCGGATCCTGCAGAGCCGCTGTGCGCGCCAGGCGTCCAAACAGTGACAGGAGAGACAGGGGGCGCGATTGAATATCCGTGTACATCCGTCGGTGGTTCACGTCATTGCCGGTGTCTATTCCCGCACACACCTTGGACGCTCTTGACTTCACCCCCAAAGGTACTGTTTCGCTTGCGCGCCATTGATGACCCGACTGTCGCAAAGAAAGAAAGAGGGGAGTGACAATAGGCGAGTTTGGGGACTTTCTCCTTTTCACTATGCTCCTCCAATCTACTGCCCGACGAATTCGGAGTATAATTTTTGTGGAATTCGGGAGGGATGTTGATGGAGACGCATGGAGCAAGTGGAAATGAGACGACTAAGATGAGGAAAAGAGGAGCACAACCCAGTGTCCCGGAACCCTAAAGCGTCGCTTAAATCAAGCCGGAACTGCTTCAGACGAAGAGGTATCCCGCGTTGATCTTTCAAAGGCTATGCAAACTTACATGCGAATATCTTCACCGCAACACGTCACAGTTTGGCAAAGAAAACAACAGCATAAGCACTGCACTTGGAAAGAAACGGGTTACTCCTTGCACACTTTGATAGTAAGACCGGCGTGAGCGGAAGACCAGCCACAAAAAGGAGAGGTAGAGGTCAGATGCCTTAGAAAGCAGAGAGGAGAAATGATTGTGCAATCATGAAAAGAGGGCCTGCCAAGCAACAAGCCATTGGCCATTGGCGGCATTAGTGTCTGTATTGTGTATCCTGTTCTCTCTGTAAGGTGTTTATGTTGTCGTCGTCGTCGTCGTCGTCGGTTCCCCCTCTTCTCCCTGCGTCACAGGTTTGCTTTGGCCCGCTGCTCCTCGGCTGCCCAACGTGCATTGATCCGGCTGTTCTGCCAGTACGTCCACGCCGCCACCGCCAATCCCAGCGGCGGGCACAGCAGCAGCACATTGTGCCACCATGCTGGGCTTGCCGCCTTGATCTGTGTCATGGCCGCCTCCACCTGGGCCGCCAGCTCGGCCTTGTCGCCGTCGTTCCAAAGCACCACCCCGAGCGTCTTGGCCCCGGCGGCACTCCGCGCATCCCGCGCATCCCGCGCATTCCGCGCCTCCGCCCGCCGCGCCTTGTCGCGCACGTCCCCCTGGCTGCGCACGCGGTTCGCCGCATCCTCGGCCGTCAGGTGCGGATCGCGCGCCCGCAACCGCGCCATTTGGATCTCCGGGTCCCGCACCGCTACCACCAGCACCGTCCCGCACAGCACGTCCAGCTTACTCTCAAACAGCAGCGGAATGTCCAGCACCACCGCCCAGTGGCCCTTGATGTACGCTGCTGCGAGGGCGCGGTACATGGCGCCCCGCACCGCCGGGTGCACAATGCTGTTGAGCACGCCGCGGTCGGCCTTGCGTTCGGGGCTGTCGCCAAACACGCGGCGGCCCAGCGCCGCGCGGTTCAGCCCCGACCCGGGCCCGTTCTGTAAGAGGTCGGGCGTCGTCGCTCCAAAGTGTGCCACAATCTTCTTGTACGCCGGCGTCCCCGGCTCGACCACCTGCCGAGCAAGCTTGTCGGCGTCGATCACAGGCAAGCCGTACGGCGACGCGCCCAGCAGCGACGATACGGTCGACTTGCCTGTGGCAATTGACCCAGTGAGGCCGATGAGGAGCATCGTGGCGATGGGGGGGAAGGGACGGCGGGTCGAATTGCGGCGAAAATCGGTGCTACAGACGCAAAATGGAGCCTGCAGAATGCACAATGCCGTGCAAGAATGTGCTGCGCCAAAGGTCAGTGCTGGCTGCAGTGTCAACAGCTTACGTGCTTGTAACGGGCGTCGTCAGCAACAATGTTGTCGTCGAGTGCGAGAGCAGTAGAAATATCCTCACAAGTGAAGACGAGTCGACATGTGGTTGTTGACGTTGGCAGCGATCAATGTAGCCTCGGATAAGCTCAAAGCTATTGGCAGTGCACAGAGCAGCAAAGGTTCCCCGCGCTTATGGCGTAGTTGCTGTTAGCTAAAAGGCATTAGACAGCATCACGTGCGCTGATCCACAACAAAACCCAGTGACTGTCATGGGGCAGTCACTAACACGAGCTGGGGAGGAAGGAGCCATCAAGGGGTTGCCCTTATAAATGGACGCGTGAATGTGTTATATTGTAAGAGAGAATACAGCATGTTCAATCAAGACGTTCTCGATTCTCAATCCCACTCCTTGCTCCTCATACAGACGTGTTTACTAGCAAGTTTAGCTCTTCACGTCCGTCTTACATCATGGTTGGGTTCTGGACGGCTTACATTGGGTCACGGTTACAGACACTCGAACAGCACAGCTTTATGTCTCTCTAAGAGACGCCCGAAACATGCCAATTACGAAACAAAATAGTTACAGAGTCATCTTCGGTACAGAATATACAATTCCTGTCCTCGAAACCAATTCCGATAGAGGCAGCCGTTGTGGCGATGGTCGCGAATTCCTTAAGTGAATGAATAGTTTCAAAGTGGGGTCAATTGACGGCATTAGACTTTTTTTTTTTAAAAAAAAAAAGTTGTCAAACAACACGACAAAAAACGTCACTCTGTCCGCCGTGTTGTCAACCGTCCATACACAATTGTCCGCACACCCTCCCACACATATACCATGACAAAAGACCGGCCAGAAGGCGTCCGTGTGGACCACCACAACGACCACAACGACCACGACGACGCCGCCTCGCACACCTCCGACACCTCCCACAACTTCGACCTCTTTGCCGAACCCCCAGACTACTACCCGCCCTCTCCGCCGCCCACTACCGAGCAGCATGCGCTCGGCCGCAGCGGCGTTCAGCTGACGCTGCACCTGGTCGGCCACAGCGTGCTCGAGGCGCACCGCCTGTGGAACGGCAGCCGCGTGCTGGCCGACTACCTGGAGGAGCGAGAGGCCCAAGGCGACCATGTCGTCAGGGACAAGACCGTCCTCGAGCTGGGCGCGGGCGCGGGCCTGCCGGGGATTGTGTGCGGGCTGGTGCTGGGGGCGCGCAAGGTGGTCGTAACCGACTATCCGGACCTGGACCTAGTGCAGACGATGCGGCGGAACATTGAAGAGGCGGAGGCCGGCGCGGCCGCGGCCGCGTCTGCGTCGGGCCAGCTCGCAGGCTATGTGCCCGGCACCGTGATTGCGGACGGCTACGTCTGGGGCGGCGACCCAGCGCCGATGTTGGCCCATCTGCGGTCAGCCACGAGCGGGGATGACGGGGACGAGGCGAGCGGCGCGGGAAAAGCGAGCGCCAGCGAGGCCCAAAAAAGAGCCCAAAAAGGAGCCCAAAATGAGGACCTGAAATATGACATCTTGCTGCTGGCGGATCTTCTCTTCCGTCACGCCGAGCACAGCAAGCTGGCCTACAGCGTGGCCCAGACCCTGCGGAACGCCCCCGACAGCCGCGCCTACGTCTTCTTCACGAGCTACCGGCCGTGGCTGCGGCACAAGGACCTGGCGTTCTTTGAGCACGCGCGCGACGCGGGCCTCGTCGTCGAGCATGTGCTGGAAAGGCGCCTGGAGAAGCCGCCGCTGTTCTTTGAAAACGACCCGGGCGACGTGAGCGTGCGGTCGACCGTGTCGGGGTACTTGCTGCGGTGGCCGCAGCCCGACAAAAGCGAGGATCCGGCAGCGTTCTGGCCGCCAGGTGGTATGCCCGTAGAACCGGCGCAGGAGCCGCCCGCAGCAGGCGATGCGTAAAGGCGCAGAATATTTTGTTGTTCGTCCATGTGCGACGTACAGTAGAGAGCATTACCTAGAATATCATGCTATTTTCATCGTACTGTCGGCCGCGCGCTGCTATCCGAACCGCTGCCGCGCCAGCTCCCGCAGCATGTCCATTGTCTCCTCCTCCCGCGCCCGGTACTGCGCTCGCCGCTCGGCCAGCTCGTCGTCCCGTGCTCGCTGCTCTTCTTCCCGCCGCAGCTGCCACAGCGTCCGTCGCGCCGCCGCCTCGTCGGCCTCCTTTTTCTTTTCCTGCGCAGACCGCCGGCTGCTCCCTCCCTCGTCACCGCCCATCAGCTCGTCGTCGCCCACCAGATCCCCGCCCGGCGACCGGTCTCGGAACCCGCGCATTTGCGCGTTGCGTTCGCGCTTCTTCTCGAGCTGCCGCTCGCGTGTGCCCGCGGCGGCCCGCGGCACGAGCTCGTCCAGCCGTTCGCGCTGCTCGGTGCGGTCAGCACGACGGGCAAGACGCAATGCGGCCCGCTCGGCTTGACAGTCTTCTTCTTCCAGCGCGCGTCGTTCGTCCAGGTCGGCGCGGCTGGGGATCGCCGGACCGGGAACGCCAAGATGCCGGCTGCGTGCGACCGAGCCGACGGCTATGCTGCTGGGGTCGCGCTCGTCTGGTGGCAATGCCGGGCCGTAGTCGCTGTCAGAGGACTCCGAGTCCTTGTCCTTGTCCTCCTCATGATCTTCCACTCGCGCATCCGCAGCCACATCTCCCCTCACGGCACGGAGAAACAACTGTGGCTCGTACCACTTGTCCGCCAAGTCGCGCCCATTCCACTTGTCCACAAACCGACGCCACCGATTTTGGGATTGGTGCTCGTCGAGCTCGGCCAGCGTCAGATGCTTCTCCTGCGAAAGGTACGCAGCAAACACGGGCGAAAACTTGCTGTAGTCGGCGCCAGCCACCAACAATCGAGCGCCGTGGGGAAGCTGGACTGGCTTTCCGTCTTTGTCTTTATCTCGGCCCCTGTCTCTGTCTCGATGGTGGTGACTCCTTGACCGGTGACCGTCTCGATCCTCTATCCGGTCCTTGATCGTCTGTTGTTTACGCTCGCGTGGCGAACGTGACCGAGTCCGACGATGTTCGCGGTGGTGGTGCTGGTGTTGACGGTGTTCACGCTCACGGTGACGGTGCTTCTCTCGTCTGCCGGGACTCGACCGCCGAGACCTCTCAGTGCCTTTGTCTTCTTCCATGTTGGCAAATGTGGACCTGCCGCTGTTATGATCTGGACGTGAATATGAGAGTGAACAAGTTGGATGAAGGTCGGCGCCAAAAAGAACAAGTGAAATTTAGTGGGGCAGAGCTCCAGCTAGGCCAATTAGCAGGCAGACGCAACCGTTTTCTTGCTGGTGCAACTGCTGCATAACAACGAATGAATACCACCTGACTGTCTGTGGCGAGAAATATTCACATCAACAAAAAAGGATAATAATGAAGGAAGTCAATTTGGCATGAATGAAGGGAAATATAGTGGAGAGAAAATAAAAACTAATAAGAACAAAGTAAGGGGACAAAAAAAAGGGAAAGGAAAGTATCCAAACAAGATAAATCGTGCGCTACACGGCAAAATAAATATCAAAACCATAAATGAAGTAAATTGTCCCAGAAAATTTAAAAGAAACCCCAAATAAAAAACACCACTCAATATGACACGATATGCCGCCCTGGGTATTCGAAATAATCCCCCCACCCCAAATAGCTGGATAAGAATGGAGACGATGCTGGAGCTCTTCCGTGCGTCCCTTTTCGCCCAAGTCGACAGAATAACAGTCCACATAAGCACAAGGCACCTACAAAGCGTTGTTATGAATTGTGCATCCGACACACTGACAGTCGTCGCCACAGGGGCATGTCAACCCCTCGCCATCGCAATCCATCACGGAGTAGCTGACAAACAAGAAATCGCCGGCAGGCAGCGATGACTGCTGGTCTTCGCTGACACCCGACGTGTCAGACGCCGAGGGCGTAAAGGCTTGTTGCGAGGGTGACGTAGAATCCGCGTTGGCTTGGGGCGGCAGTGTCGTCGTCACCGTCGACGTCGCCGTCGCCGTCGCCGTCGAGGTCGAAGTCACCGTCCGTGCACTCGAGTTGCTCGGCGAGTCGCCCATGTAGCTCCACACCGAGCGGATCGTGTCTTGTGTCGCATTGTTGAACGGGTGCGCAACGCAGCCTATGCATTCGCAGCCGTCACCGCACGAACACATGTGCAAGTCGTCGCCACCGTCCAACAGACCACCATTGTGTATCGCAAACTGTTGTTGCTGCTGCTGGTGATGCTGTTCATGCTGCTGCTGTTGTTGGTGTTGTATTGTTGCTGCGTCATACCCTTGATGTTGTCCCTGCATGTATAGATGTGCATCGGGTCCGGTCGTGATTAGGCTTGCGCGCCACTGCGATGGCTGCAGAGGTGCCGACACCGTGCCATACTCCGGTGGATAGCGGTACCATGCTGGCGAACCGTGGGAGTGATGCTGCTGCTGCTGTTGTTGTTGTTGCTGTTGTTGTTGTTGCTGCGGCGGCTGCTGATGTGCGTATCCAGCGTAGTGGGTCAGTGGTACTCCGTGCTGCTGTTGCAGGCTAGCGTACTGGTCGACGTGGCCATTGTTGGCATTGGCTATAGGCGGCTTGACGTCGCCTGTACTTGACCCATTACGAGAAGACTTGGCTAGAGGAATCGACGACAGCGATACGGATCCTGGTCCGCCACCTATCCTGCTTTCTGACTTGAGCATCGTGTGCTGCTGCGACGAAGAGGACGATGCCGTCACTGGCGACCCCGAGCAACAGCTCTTGGCATTCGAGTGCGAGCTGGCTGTCGTACCACTGCCACCGGTACTTGCCAACGAGGTTGTGCTTGACGTAGGTGTGTGCCGCGCCGACTCGGTCGCCAAGTGCTGCGGCTCTGTCGCCGGTGCACAGCATGAGCCTTTTGCCGTGGCAGCAGCAGGCGCTGCCGACACTGATACAGGTGCTGGCGCTGGCGCTGGTGCTGATACTGCTGCTGGCGTGTGTGATGCCTGATACTGCAGACCGTGGAAACCGTTTACCTGTTCTGGTCGTAGGTCTCTGAGGTTGAGGCCAAACCCGTCCAAACCCTCACCCAACGTCGTCGACATTCCCATGCCGTCGTCGAAAAAGCCATTAAAGTCTCCGCGCCCGCCGTCGGCATACATGCCGTGCTCGCCTGGTCCGGGGTCCTGCAACGGGTAGCCGGACTGGGTATATGCACCGGGCGCGCCGGGATTCGTAAACATGGCTGTCTGCTCGCCCTGGCCGCCGAAAAAGGCCACGGACTCGTTCGGGAGCATAAATTGGCCGCCGTTCGGGTGGCTCGAGCCAGTGAGGGAGGAGAGGTGGTCGATATTCTGTGGCGGGTGTCCGTTAGACGGCCAGCCTGCGGTACCGGGTGGTGGGGCGTGAATATTCATCAGGTTAACATCAGTGCGGCCGAGTGCACTGGGGTCGATGCGCCGTGCCATGGACTTGGGCGACATCGGTGGTTTGAAGAAGGCTCGTTTTGAAGGTGAGCGCGGCGTTTTGGAGATGGAGGCACTGCCGTTGCCGCTGGCGCCGTTAACGCCGGCAGCGCCGGAGGCTGACTTGGACCCACAACCGCATTTGCGCGAGCGCGGGAGGGCGGCCGTGACGGTAGCGCATGAGCAGCCATTGTTGGGCGGGTGCGGGCAGATACTGAGTGGTCTGCCCGGTTTCCGGACAGGGAGCATAACACGCTCGCTAGCATGGTTGCATTTTGTTGAACGATGGCCGCGAATGCAAGGCTCGCTGTATAGAAAGGACGTTGTTAGTCTAGCTTTTCGCAAAAGAAAGGACAAAAAAAGGGAAACGAGTTCAAAAATGCAGTCGTAAAAATATGCGCTGGTTTCGCGGTATTCTCACATATCCCACCCGTTCACGCGGTAGATACAATCTCGCTCATTTGGCTTATTCCTTCTTATCTCTGCGATCGATCTTACAGCGTGAATGGTAAGATGGAGCGAGCACAGCAAATACAAAAAGCCGCTTTTCTCCCATCATAATAGAACAAGAGAAAAAGTGATACATATGAGACCAGAACGGACGCTACTAATTGAGTCGGGAAATGGGGATTCTTCACCGCGATGGTGGTAGGCAGTAACGGGAAGCAAAGTGTGGAATGCAAAACAGGAATTGACGATATCGAGCAAAACGAGCGCAGAGCTCCGCAGTGCAAGTAAAAGAGAAACGAGGTGCGATGGTGAGAAGAGTTGGGCAGCGCCGAAGAAGAAGAAGAAAAAGGACGACTTACCAAGCCATCTTGATGCCGTTTATCATCGGCATATTGTACGGTTTGTAGATTGCTAGTCCCTATTTTTTGAGAAGTAGCTCTTGCGCATGCGTGCGACGCGGTGAAGAATTGAGTTGTGATGCGAAGGCGACTTGAATACGGAGACACGCCTAGAGTGTTCAAAATACGAAAAGCGGAATAGCAGAGTGTTGGTGAGCCCCTGAGCAGGTTTACAAAACAACCTGGATCCTAACACGGGACGTGGGGTTTAGGCCAAGGCGTGGGATGTAATAGTTTGTAATAGGGAATCAGGTAATCAAAGCAGCAGCCTTAATTAGATACTGATGTAATTAAGCTCGCACTGCACATGCTCTCCATAGGCGAGGCGGTTACCTGCGGTCGGTTGTTGGTACTTGATGGATGCCGGTTGATAAATACACTTCTGGCGGGCCGCGTCGTTGGTAAGTTGCAGCGAGACCGAGAAATTGTTGGATGAAGTGGACGGGGTATACAGTGAACGGTGATGAGCGTGAGCTGAGGTGAGAAAATAAGTAATTATGATAAGAAGAAGAGTCGAGAACGAGATCGCGATGTAAGCTGGGGGAGGAAAGAAAAAGAGACAACCATAAAGGTGAAAAGAGACAGACGAGTTCGTTTTCGGGAGTCCGTTTGCACCAATAGAAGTCACCCCAGACGGCTTTATGC